TAAATGTCTTGGCTCGGTGGGAAACTGAGAAGACATCTCTGCTTTCTGTGGGCTATGATCGAAAATCAAATTTGGATACATCTATCAGCCTCTCTCTCTCAAGTCCCCGAATCACATCTGATAGCAAGGAATTATTGAGTCTCCTGTCAATTCTCCCCAATGGACTCTCTGATGCTGAACTGGTCCAAAGTAATCTTCCAATTCCTAATATTCTTAGTTGCAAGGCTGCATTACAGGCCACTTCATTGGTGTATCAAGATGGCAACAAACGACTTTTGTCGCTGATGCCTGTGAGAGAACATATTCAGCAGTTCTTGCCTCCCTCCCAGTCCCTTATACAGTCGCTTTGCAAGCATTTCTATTCAGTTTTGGAGCTATACCAGAAATACGATGGAGAGCAGCTGCAGCCTGTGATGAATCAAATAACCTCAAATCTGCGAAATCTGCAAGAAGTATTGCAACGATGTTTATCTGAGAATGATCTGAATCTTGCAGATACAGTGTATTGTATATTATGTCTGAACTCATTCTACCGAGTAACTGGACGTGGTCATATACCACTGATGGATTCCATTAAACCTATTTTGCCTCACCCTTGCAATCACCAACTGGAGATACACCTTCTCACTGAAGTTTTGAAATCATCTGGATATTATCCCTCCCACATGTTGGAAAAAATGATAGTTCAGGGAGTATCTCACTTTCAATGTCTCAGTGATCCCCTTCTTGAGTGTGAGTCCTACGCATTCTTTGAGCCACTGTTTGTCTTATGACTCTTGTTGATGCTAGCCAAATTCTACCAAGCAGCAGGAATCTATTTCTTTAACTATAAATTGGATTCACTGCAAGCTATGGTATTTTATCAAAAGGCACTAGAATTGTCAAAGTTGTCTGGAGACAGCAATCAGTGGTGTAGTGTTTTGCTGAGTCTTGCTTGGCTCAAGTACCAGACTGGAGATCCTTGTACTGCCCAGGAACATGCCAGTGAGGCACAAAGGCTTTCAAAATTATCAGCAAACTTATATCAGGAGGCAAGTGCATATTGGGTTGGAGCTATATGCTCCAAGCGACTTGGGGACTACCAGAAGAGTATGGCCCAACTCCACAGAGCTAGACAGATTGTTGTCCTTTGTGGCCTGTGTGGAGGAATTCTTGATCATGACATCACACTGACCCAGGCAGAGATCCATCGTATGAAATCCGAATATGCTCAAGCCAGAACACTTAACAGCCAGCTAGTTGAAACCACTTCGCCTGACCACGATGCTTTCTCCTATGCAATATCACTTCTCAATATTGCCCACATTGACACAAGAATTGGTGGGGATATAGCAGATGTGTACCAAACCTTGGACAAAGCAAAAGATATTTTCAGCAGTTATGATTCTCTGAGGGGAAATACCAGCTGCAGCATGGCTCAGGCAGATGTCGAACTCAGAGAGGGGAATTTCGACTTGGCAAAGGTGAAATTCCAGGAATGCCTCCATTTGGCCTGGGGAACAGACATTGAGGCTGAATCTTTCTGCTTGGAAAGACTTGCTAATGTCAAAGCTTGGCAAGCAATTGGATCACAACACATATGGGCGGTGGTATATGTGGGGCATGCCCACATATCCCAGGATAAACTGGCACTTCACAAGGCACTTCTGTTTCTAGGAGATGTGTTCAGTGCTCACACGGATGAAGAGACAGCATTGAGTCTCTATACAGTGGCCCTGGAGGGATTCACCCACATGGATGTCCATTGCAGCCGAGCCCAATGCATGCTCTGTCTCGGAGATCTTGCAATTAAACAAGGAAATACCTCTGCAGCCATTGCCCACTGGAAGGCAGCTCGGCCACTGTTTGAGAAGTCATTGCAGGCCAAAGATGTAGCCCAAATTGAGTCCAGGCTTGCTAACATCGAAGAGGCTCATCAGGAAGCGCTTGTGAAACTCACAACCTTGCAGCCACCTGTCCAGTTGTTGCAGCAGCTGTCCATCTCCAGAGAAGAAATGTCAGAGGCCGAAAAGGGGAGGATGTAGATTATGAGGATCCTGAAGATGGCCCGGTTCCTGTTCCAGTAAGATGTTCAGAAAGAATTATTCCCGCTTTATGTCACTGCCTCGTATTTGTGTATTTCGATCTTTATGTTCAAGTTATATTTATTTTATATCAGCGAGGAAAACACAATGCGAAAGCGTACAGCTTTGTCCCCACATGATATGGTCATTGAAAAATGTGCAGTGCGACAGGTTGGTTTGCTACCTTGATCTCCTTGATGAATTCGCCACAAGTAGCGGATCCACAAAACTGATGGATGCCAGTCTGCATTCAATTCGTGCAGGAGATCCTGCTGAACATGGCATACTGATTAAATTTTATTTCGTGGAGGGGAGATATGAAGTGAACAACAGAACTAAACCTAGGGCTGTGCGCCGTGCCCGTCGCGACGGTTCTACGGGTTCCGTCCGACGGGTAGCCGACCCGTTCCGTCGAGGGTTATGAAAAACATTCGACGGGACGGCAACGGGACGGTTTTCCAGGCCGACGGCCGTCGAAATTACGGCCGTCGACCGTCATGACGGGTGACGGGTTTGCCAATGGTAAGCACACAAATTTCGCGCAATTTTGACCATTTTCTGTGGGCTATACACATGGTTTGCTTCTGTTAACATTGTACGACAGTCCGGAGAGGTTTGGATCACTCACGACGGCATTCCCGCTTACCAAGTGAGCACCACCCAGCTGAATCCTGAGTACCTGTTTTCCAACTATTCTGTCAAACAGATTTTCTCGTGAGATTCCAGTCATCCTCTCAACTACGGAAGCACTTAAAAACCCCAAAGCAAGTACGTTGGACTCACAATGAAATTCAGGAGTGCTTGCTCATGACTGCGCAGGTGTATTTCAGCCTGATTTGATTGTCAATCTTGTGCTTACCGAAAGATATGCTAACAGGGTATATTCCCGGTTATTTTCCAGCAACAATAATGACCCTTGTTCTCTGCGAAGGCACCGACACCGTCCCGTTGCCCGTGACGGCCGTCCCGTCGTCCGTCCCGCGCCGTAGGGGTTTGTCCAGCCTGTACGACGGGACGGAGACGGGACGGGTTTGCCCGTTGAACTCCCGTTGAAACGACGGCCGTGCCCGTCACGGGCACGGCGAACAGCCCTAAAAGTCTAAACCTCTGTTGATATGCCTGCGGCGAGAGTAAGTAGGGAAGGTGGAGAGAAAAGAGGGAAGGTTCAAGTGCAGCCGCAGGAATAATATTGCGAGGTTGGTTCTGACCAGGTCAGAAATTAAACGCAGCGAACGGTAGCGAGAGACGAGGGCAACGAGGGGCGGAGGCTGCTGAGGACGATGAGGATTACGGAGGACGACGAAGACGACATAGGGCGTAGCGACGAGGGAGATAGAGTAGAGACACTTTTTACAAACTCAAGTGTAAAGTCGAGGAGAACTTGTCTGTTTTTATTGTGGTGACACTGCGAATATTTATACCAAAAATATAGTGAATGAATGGTAAAAAGAAAAATTCATATCGGTGTGCTCGGGGTATACGAATCTAACTCAAACTGTCTGGAAAGTTAGTGGTAAATCAGAAAACAGATGAGGCCAAACTGGCTAACAAGCCACGCATCACACAACTTGGCCACACTGCAGCGATCAAAAATATTACCGGAGGAAAAAGAACCTAGAACTATTATATTCGATTTTACCTGAGATAAGATATCGGTGATAGCCTGGATATTACCTGTCGCATCTCTTCTGGTGATAGTCCGGCTGTTTGCCGAGGTAAAATTTTTACTTTTACTTTCCTTTGTTCTTTCCTTTGTTATGTAAAAGTCCGACTTTTACCTCGGGAAATAGCCAGTCTATTACCTGAAGTGATCTGACAGGTAATTATCCAGGCTGTCACTGCTATCTTATCTCTGGTAATAGTTGGGCCGTAAATTGGACATGATAGTTCTAGGCCCTTTTTCCTCCGGTAATATTTTTTGATCGCCGCAGTGCCAGTCTTGTTACACCGCCATTAGGGTCGTTCCCCTTTTTCGCTCTCTTTTTTCTCCCTTTTTTGTATTCCCACCGTTTTTTTCCGGGGTTTTTTTTTTCCTTTTCAGTTTCAACATGCAAAAAGGGTGTAAATCAAATAAATCTAGGTCCAACGTGCGATATTGGATGAAATCAGAAAAAAAAGGAAGCGAAAAAGGGCCGAAAAAAGGCTACTGTGAACACCCTGGTTTTCAGCTCCCTTTATCCATTTCATGCAGTCTGGGTGCTCCTATGATTCCTTAAAGGTCACATAGCACCTCAGGTGTTCAAAAAGGACTCGGGTGAATTTTTCTGGATTTTATAGGTCACTCGGTTACATTTATATGCAAACAACAAAAAGGGCAGAAAAAAGGGTGCAAAAAAGGGTGCAAAAAAAAAGACGTCAAAAGGGCTACTGTGAATAACCCTATTGATCCTTGCTCACTTGTGTTATATCCGTGGCACCAAGATACCTGACTGCCAGTATCGGGATACCTACTCAGGAAATATCTGCCTCGCATAATAATCTAACCACGAGTGGATCTCGCTCCCTTTCATTTAGGTTCAACTGAATGAGCCACGAGAAGTTGCTGCTTCTTCCTGTCCTCGTCTTTATTTAAACTGTCTTCATAGTTCCGGGCGCCAGACTACAGGGATTTTTGGATACTGCTTCAGAGAATCAGATGGTGTGTGCACTGACGCAGCGTATGTATTTCCGGTGCAAAATATATACAGGAAAAGAGCACCAGCGCTTTTGCATTCGGACTCCCGGAGTGGAACCCAGGCCTCCCGCATAGTGTAACCGGGTGTGCACATGCGTCCGAGTTGTACTCTGATCTGGATTCTGGAATGCAGCGAAAGTTAAAGTGCATGAAATACTCCAGGAGAAAAGAGTTATGAGGTTCCCTAATAATCACTTCCGTGTGAAATGGAGTGAAGAAACCTTTGAGAAACAATCCAGAAAAAAAGCAAGGCTCGTCGTTCAGTCGGACGCCGCGAGTCGAACCCGGGTTTCCCGCATTTATTTATGACTCAGAACAACAAACGGGAGTGCGTCATGCACCACGTCCGAGGTGTTCTTTAACCTCGGTGTCAGAATACGAACATGAGTTTCTGCGCGTAAATCAGATAAATAACAGTTGAACCTCGAGAGAGAGAAATTACCAGAGTGTTTTCGAGGCAAAAGCAAAGAATAGGAGGTGCAGTCGGACGCCAGGAATCCAACCCGGGTCTCCCGCATTATACTCAGCGTAACGACACTGCAGAGTGAGAGCGGATGTACATATGTGCGCCATGTACCACGTCCGAAGTAACGTCTAATCTTGGTGGCGGGCTACACAGGGGGGTTTCTGGGCCTGAATCACATAAATATCACCTAAAACTCGACGAGAGAAGATTTGCGAGGTTCCCTGTCAAACAAATTAGTGCTCATGCTCACCACTTGAATGATAGAAAGCTCTGAGAAACAACCCAGAGAAAGAAAAGAAAAAAAAAGAAGCTTGAACCAAATCAATCATTCAGACGCAGGTAATCGAACCCAGCCCTCCTGCACAATTCACACTTCCCCTCAGGCAGTGCGAGCAGGTGTGCGCCATCCACCACGCCCGAGGCACTCTTTGACCTTGATGCCAGGATAAGTAGACGAGTTTCTGGGGGTGAGCGATGATAATGAATGAAAGGCAAGCTAAGGTGATTTTCCAGCCCACAGTCAGGTAAAGGACGATGTTCATGAAATAGAGAAATTGCGAGGGTTCCTGTTAGAGAAATGAATCACTGTTGGAGAAACCTGCGAGAGCAAAAAAGGTGGCAACTGTGTTCCACATTCGGACGCCGGGAGTCGAACCCGACCTACCGCATTCATATATTCATATATAATCTCTTGATCATCAGTAGCAGGCTTACACCATGCACTACGTGTGAACCCCGGTTCCAGAATAAGAAGGGTGAGTTTCTGGACGTGATTCAACGAAAAACAAGAATGCGCATGAATACTCGAAGAGAGCAGTTGAGGTCTGCCAGATAAATCAGCATTCATGTGAATGAGCTTGAAGGACATGAATCAATGTTGTCGGAACCTCTGAGAAGAAGAAAACTTTTATGGCAATACCCTATTTAACCCGGGTTTCCCACATCGAAGGCTTTGCAATATCTGAAAGTGCGAGTGAGTGTGCCCCGTGCACCACGTCCGAGTTTCTTTCTGACTTTTGAAGGAGGCTACGGAGGGGATTTATGGGCGTGATTCAGAAAAGTGTGATGGAGATATTGGCAGAGGAAAAAACTGCACTCGTGTGAATGACCTCGAAGGAAATAAAGTAGAGAAACATCAGGAAATCCTGAACGAAACACCAAGAGAGATCCCGGACAAGTTGGGCAGATAAGTTGGTGTGAAGTAAAAGAAGGAGAAAAAAGGTCTTAACAGACCACATATTCGAACGCCGGGAGTCGAACCCGGGCCTCCCGCACAATTGTCACCTTCCCTCAAGCAGTGCGAGCGGGTGTGCGCTGTACACCGCGTCCGAGATACTCTCTAATTTTGGTAGCGGGCTACGTAGTGCGCAGGCGAGTTTTTGGCCTGAATCAGATAAATAATGATCTGCATGAATACTCGAAGAGAGCAGTTGGGGTCTGTCAGAAAAATTAGCCATCTGAATGACCTCGAAGGAAATGAATCAATGTTAGAGAAATCTATGAGAAGAAGAAAAATTCTAGAGCACCCCTCTATTCGGACGCCGGGAGTCGAACCCGGGATTCCCGCATTGAAGCTCTTTCACAAATACAGAAACTGCGAGCGGTTATGTGCCATGCACCACGTCCGAGATACTCTCTTACCTTGGTGGCAGGATAAGGCAGTGAGTTTCTGGGTGTGATTCAGAGATGAAGATGCCTTGCATGAAATACTGGACGACAGGAGTCGGGGTCTGTCAAATAAATTAGCGTCCATGTGAATGAATTCAAAACAAAATGGAACAGCGTTAGGGAAACCAGGGGAAACCTCTGAGAGCAAAAACAGGTGGTCCATTCGGACGCCGGGAGTCGAACCTGGACTTCCCGCATCATATTGTCTTGAAAGGAAGTTGTGGACTGCGAGCGGGTGTGCGCCATGCACCACGTCCGAGCTACGCTTTAACCGTGGTGGTAGGCTACGTAGGTGAGTTCCTAAAGCTGAAGCAGAGACGAGCTTGATGTGCATGGAATATTAGAAGAGGGGAGTTGCATGGGTTCCCATCAAACACGCAAGGATTAGCGATCATGCTCACGACTTGAAGGAAATGAACCAGAAAAAGAAAAAAGAAAAAAGAAAGCAACGTTGAGGTCCATTCGGACGCCGGGAGTCAAACCCGGGTTTCCCGCACAAGTGATAACACCCACCAGCAGTGCGAGCGGGTGTGTCATACATCACGTCCGAGGTACTGTGTAACCTTGGTGGCGGGCTACGAAGATCAGTTTCTGGGCATGAGTCCGCGATAAATAATGATGTGCATGAATACTCGAAGAGAGGAGTTGCATGGATTTGGGATCATGCTCACGACTTGAAGGAAATGAACCAGAAAAGAAAAAAAGAAACCGACGTTGAGACCCATTTGGACGCCGGGAGTCGAACCCGGGTTTCCCGCCGCAAATTGTAGACAAGTTTCGCACCGAGTATGTGGGGGCGTGCACCATGCACCACGTCCGATTTACTTAGTAACTTCGGTAGTTGGATTAGTGGGTTGGATTTCAGCATGAGTTGTACAGTGTAATACCAGTTGTATTTCCTTGGAACAGTACTACGAATGTACTCTCTTTCTTCCAAAGCCTTTGTTCTCATTACAATCGAAAGAGGGATCCACATCCACGTCTCGCCTCAAAAAAAGAAGAAAAAAACCGCAGTGGACCCTGTCATATTCGGACGCTGGGAGTCGAACCCAAAGCTCCCGCTACAACAACAACTTTTTTGTGCCATTGTGGGCGAGCGTGCACCGTGCACCACATGCGATTCATTTAGCGACTTCGGTAGTTGAATTGGTACTGTAGGAAAGTTTTCAACTCGAGTTCCTAGGTATGCGACCCGATTGGCAATAAACACTCGTGAAGTGCGCACTTGAACTCCAATTAATTAAAGGACAAGAGGCTTAGGCTGGGAATATTCGAACTCTTGGAAGAGAAAAAACGGCCGGCAAGCTGAAGAAAAGGAAAAGAAGAATAAAAAATGCAGAACTCAGGGCTATTCGGACGCTGGGAGTCGAACCCAGGGCTCCCGCCGCCAACTGTTGCGCAATCTTCCAAACCAGTATGTGGGGGCGTGCACCATGCACCACGTCCGACTTATTCATTTGTTTTGGTGGTTGGATTGGTGGGAGACATTATTCAACGTGAACATGAATTTGGCGTAGGACCAAATGAACTTGAAAGATCTTCTTGATTCTCAACGCGCACCTACATATCGCTTGCCAAGACTAATTTGATTACTTGGGAGGCCGATGGCGCTGAACACTGTTTTGTAAGTTGGACTGCTGGAGCAGAGGTGGGAAAAAAAAGGGGACAGCAATCTAGCCATCTGCACCTGAGCTGCAGACCCTCTGCCGATGAGCACCAGATCGTCTGCAGACGAGTGGCAGATCATCTGCGGACGAGTGGCGGATGATCCGCCGACCGAATATTAGCTTGACCAAAAGTAATCGTTTTGATTTGCACATCAGCTCCAGCTGAAATGTAAACTGAAATATATGATTTCAGTTACACTGGAATGTGTTATGAAAGCCGGAATTTCAGTACCCATGGCCATTTCAGTGCACTTGAAATACTAGGTTTCGGATGCGCCTGTTTTTGTACCGAAATGGTAAGTTTCGGTTTACAATGTCGGTGCATTTGTTTTGCAATCTGACTCCTGGGATTTCAGCCCCATTTCAGCTTGTCCAAGACCCAATTTTATTCTTGTAGTTCAGATCACAGTTTAGATGTACCTAATTCACTAATAACAGATTGACTTTCGGCCCGGCTTTTGTGCAACTCCAAAGTCGGCATTTAGAGTTGAACGTCCGGCCACACTAAATTTGGTGATCATCGGTGTGACTGAAGCGGCCACACGGATACGTCATCGGTGAAGAGGGACTTAACTGCTGCAAGGAGGTCGACGCGGTCAGCCTCCTCGATTCCTTTCTTGGCCAATTTATTGTTCGTCCGCACGGCGAGCTCGTTCGCGGTTGTGGTGCGCCATGGCGCGTAGTGCGGGCATTCGAAGAAGATATGGTGCTGGTCTTCGATCGGTGATGCTGTACATAGATGTGGGATTACACACGGTACGTCGGTATTGAAGCGTAACTAGAAGTTGAATCGTTCTCAAGAATCTCAGCTATCCGCCAGTCGACTGTTATCATTATGTACTCCTCGAATGATACGTTTGTCCGCCTGTTGACTGCTGCTATCAGACAGATGATTACCCATCGAGTTTGGTAGCTTTTTCTCGCGCTCTTCAAAAATACTTATTCCGGACCGGTTTACTGAGGTATCCTGCCGGTTTTATAAATTGGCAGTGCACAATCCTGTCCAACCCGTCTCTTCCCCTCATTCGCAATGATAGTCCCTCAAGACGATTCCAATGTGTTCCCTATAACAGAAGCTCAGATCACCGGCATTTATTTCGAAACCTTGACTTATGGCATGTACTTGGTGACATGCTGTTTCTGCGCCCAAATCTTGTTTTGGATACCACAGCCCGGAGGAGGGGAGCGGTTGAGGCAACGAAGCGAGATCAAGTGGTTGCTGGTCAGCATCTTCTGCTTCATCTTCGTTGTGAGCACGTTCGACGACATCATCGGACTGCTGCACATGATCCTGGCCTTTGTCAAATACAAGGGTGCAGGAGGACCGCAGCAGGAGCTCACGAATATCCATGACTGGATTAATATTGCGAAGGTGAGTTCATATACGCTAAGTGGCTCGACTGGCTAACATGTGTAGGCCGTCAACCAAATCCTTAATATGATCGTGAGCGACTTCGTCCTCGTATACCGCTGCTTCATCGTCTATGGTCGGCGGTGGCTAGCCATCACGGTCTCATTTACGCTCTACCTCACTGGTATTGCTACGGTGGTCCAATTAATGCATACTGAAATCACGGCCAGCAACAGCGCCATTATTCTCAATCCCAATCTCACCATCCCGTGGTGGTCTGATTTTTTTGCTATTACTGCAGCCCAAAACGTTCTAACAACGTGTAAGTTCATCATCTGCACAGTCCTCATTGCCTTCTTACTTTTGCGATGTAGCTCTTCTGGTGTGGCGCATATGGCGTATAGAGCACCAAAATAAGAAGTTCCGAGCTGGGAACACTTCGCTGTCCGCTCCTGCCTACCAACCTCGACTTCGAAAAGTCATCCGAGTTGTTGCAGAGTCCGGTCTAGCATACAGCACACTGGTCTTCCTGGTCTTCATGCTGAGCGTATGTAACAGCAATATGCTGTACCCTTTGTCCGATGCCGTAGGTGGAATCCTTTTAGGGGATACATGAACTGATTTTTCGGTGTAGACACTTCAAGCGGCAGGGATCACATTTGATGTCATCATCATCCGCTCAACTCCACGACGAGACAACGAATTCACAGAATTCGATCGAACCGAACGTGGCGTAGCCGTGCAAGCTGGACGAATGCCTAGCGGAATCCAATTCTTATCCCATTCGACTGCAGACCAGAGAACGACAATTGGGAGTATCAACGTCACAATAAAATCTGCGACGGACCGGCTTGACGATAGCCAGTCACAGGTCGACGACAATTATTCTATGAAGGACGTGGCAGCGAGATTGTAAGTTGTACGAAAGGCAGTGCATTGGATGTCCCAATAATTTATGGGGTCTCGCCTGTACGAATAGTTGTGGAAATTTTGAATGTAAAATAAACAGGAGCGCTTGGCATCTCTCGAGCACTGGAAATATAGATGGGCTTGCGGGTTATGCAGACGAAAAAAGGTACGCCCTGCCATTGCTCAGGAATTATAACGTCTGCATGCATCCACATACAGTTGAATTGCTCATAATGCATTAGGTCATAATGCATAATGCTCATAATGCATTGGGTTTTGGCATCCACCGACTTGGTAGGCTGGCATTTTATGCATTTTTCTCATGCAGGGTTCTGGCATTTTCTCTGGGCTTTTGTGCATTTGTGAGCTGAAACCATGGTCTGATTGACATTTCTGACCCAAACCAACCAAATCAATGGTTTACATGTGAGAATTTGACTGAATCAGCCCCTATTCAACCATAATTTCCTGTTTAGGTCAATCACATAATGCTGACTTGCCTCTGGCACAGTCAATGCATTCATTCCAAAGAGCAAATGGGTGGCTAATTTCAGCCATTCTTGGCTCCAGGAGTGTATTATTCTAGCTCCAGGAGCCTACATCCTGAAATTCCAACACAAATGAATGAAACTGTGACAATGTCATGCATGTCACACCGTGGGAAGAATCTCACAATGCATATTGCTCATAATGCATAGGGTTTGGGGGTCCACCAGCCTTATGCATTATGAGCAATTCAACTGTATTCATGACGCCGGGTACACATGACCGCGTTCAATTTGTGACACGCCGGACACTTGCTCTTGGTTCGAGACCCGTAATAGTACCTTCATGAAATAGAGCCTGTTCCTTACGAGGATGCATGCATAGCAGCGGACCAGGTCGCTCAAGCATTAAAGTGCTCGGCAGTTCCCGAGCCATCATGATCCGCTGCTGATTCATGATCAGTTCATCAACGTCCGCAAGGTTCAGGTTCAACATGTATAAGATATGCCTTTGCTTCGGCAGTTGGTTTTGATGATTGCCTTTCATAATAGAAAATCAATTTATCCAAGCAACTACCACGCTGCCTAAAGTATGACGGTTATTATCGTCGTTTATTATAGCTTGCAGGACGTGGTTGTGATGCCAAACCAATCTAGTTCAACTTGCGGAATCAACTTTGACAACGGGCCGATCTGTTCCGAATACCTAAACAGGAAATTGACCCCTATTTCGATGAGTTTTGAGTGTTTACTGCGTTCCAACAGCTTCAGATCATCCACATAATTAGCAGGTTTAGAAATCCATGCCATTCTGCTCATCACATGAAGTTGATGAGACTGGCCGTGGAAATTTTTACATAAATGATATATGTTTCGACGAACATCGGGGTAGTACCATGCAAATGACCATTGTCACAGCTATAAAGAGAGATCAGAGCAAGATATAGTTCCATACAATAGTGTAGGGATGTCCGGAGGAAGTCGAATTTGCACCCCGAGCCCAAAGTAATTATTTTCATGGCTAACTGCAAACTCTGACGGCATCCAAAAGAGGCCGGTGGAATATTCGGTGGCCAAGTCACTCTGGTTTTTTGTACACTTATGGAGGCCCTAGGGTTATGGAGGCGGGATGTAGAGGCGGATCAAAGGAATTGGAGCGTGGGTTTGATTGTTGGACTTATATTTTGATGCAAACCAGCAGCTACAAACTTAGCTTTCCCTTAAAACCAGAGGCTACAAAGTACGGGTTGCAATAAACAACGAAGAAAATGTCCATACCAATCACCGCCAACGAATACCGTGCAATTCGCGCTTCAACATGGGATTTTCGAGTTCGATGATCCGAGCCTAGAGGAAGAAAGGTGCTATCGTGTTGCACTTTGCTTCTGTTTCCCTGTTTTGCTGGTCTCAGGTGTTCTCACGCATTCTTTTCGCGGCGTTGAACGACGCCACAATCAGACTGTCAATGGGAAATGAAGGGGTAAGCTCGACCATGATGTGTGGGTCGGTGAGCAACCACGGAGAGACTCAGGATGGCACGCTACCTCTGGAGGCTCGAGCAAGCCAACACACCGCAGTAGAATTGTGAAATGAAAAAATGATGGACCTCACGCTTAGACCGCAAGCCTACTGTAATCGCTGGCCCTGGGATGGCATTATGTATGGCATTGTAAATGCGCTTCAGGGTAGAATGAAAGCTAACGACTGCAAGCTTTGACAGGAATATTCGAATGATCTAAATACTGACTTGACTAGTACTGCTGTTGCATTGAAATTGGATGTACGTCTGAAGAACTGGAAAGAGAGCAATGATTGAGGAGGTCCCAGCACGGTTCAGAAGGAAACGCAAAAGGAACTCAACTTGGCAGATTTTGCAGATTGAGGGGGACGGCTTAGTGATGCGTGTGCGAAAGAAGGTGACGGCTAACAAGTCGAACCTGCCTTTTGAGCGGCTGTTGAACGGCTGATCGGGGAGGTTGAAATTAAAAACATGCGGACTCGGAGCAAATGAATGGGAGAAATGGTGACAGGACTAGGCCAGCCGCTGAGATCTAGTGCTGATCCCTAATACTATGTAGGGGATTCCAGACTTTACAGCCGCAGCACGAAGACCTGTTGACGGAACTAGGACAGGTTTGTCGGTCATCGTCCGAATGAGACTCGTACCAGTCCACGTCCGAATGGCTGATGCCATCCGACAAGAGATTTAAAGCCCTCACACGGGCGACATGACGTAGTAGAATTTGAAGTACAGCTGTGATTGGGATCATATCAGAGGGCATTCCCGAAAGGTAACATCTGCCAGATTCTTACAGTTCATTTCAGCGCTGCCAGATCTATATATATATACATGACTCTCAACGGTGATGCGTACATCTATTTGCCCTCTGCCCATTTGTAAGAACCCAAAATTGCGCATGAATTAGCCCAGTCGATCAAGCTAGCTTTCATGTAAATTGATAAGTAGGTAAGTTTTCAACCCGACTTCGTTAGATGTGCGACCTAATTGGCGATAAACATTCGGTGAACCGTGAATTGCGCATGCGCATGCATCCTCCGATTCGAGTTTTGAATTCCAATTAATTAGGATGACAAGGAATATAAAACATCTGAGCAAAAAAGGCAACCACTTGGTTCGGCATTCGGACGCAGGGAGTCGAACCCGGCTCCCCGCACAATCGATAGTTTCTCAAGCAGTGCGAGCGGGTGTGCGCCGTGCACCACGTCAGAGTTACTCTTTGACCCTGATTCCAAAATACGAAGGGGAGTTTTTGGGCTTGAGGAAGATAAATAACACTTGAGTACCAGAATACGAAGGAGAGTTTCTGGGAGTGATTCAACGACGTGCATGAGAATACTCGCAGAGAGAAGTTGAGGTCTGTCAGAAAAATTAGCATTCGTGTGAATGACCTCGAAGGAAATGAAGTAGAGAAACATCAGGAAATCCTGAACGAAACACCAAGAGAGATCCGGGCAAGTTGGACAGATGAGTCAGTGTGAAGTAAAAGAAGGAGAAAAAATATCTCGGCAGACCACAAATTCGAACGCCGGGAGTCGAACCCGGGCCTCCCGCACAATTGTCACCTTCCCTCAAGTAGTGCGAGCGGGTGTGCGCCATACACTACATCCGAGATACTCTCTAATTTTGGTGCCAGGCTACGGCGATGATTTCTAGGCGTGAATCAGCAATAAATAATGATCTGCATGAATACTCGAAGAGATCCGTTGAGGTCTGTCAGAGAAATTAGCGACCGTGTGAATGGGACTGAAGGTAAACGAATCACCGTTAGAGAAATCTACGAGAATAAAAAAAAAAAGGCAGAACACATAGTCCATTCGGACGCCGGGAGTCGAACCCGGACCTCCCGCATCATACTATCTTGAAAGCGAACTGCGAGCGGGTGTGCGCATACACCACGTCCGAGGTACTTACTCTTCAACCTTGGTGCCAAAATACGCAGGTGAGTTTCTAGGCGTGAGTCCGCGATAAATAATGATGTGCGTGAATACCTGAAGAGAGGAGTTGCGAGAGTGCAGATAAATTAGCTTTCGTGTGAATGACCAAGGAAATCCCATCCCATGGATGAGTTTGAACGAAACCTAAATGAGATCCCGGATCGGTGTGAAGTGAAAAAAAGGAGTCAAGGAAAGAAAAAAGACGAAGCGACCTTCTATATTCGGACGCCGGGAGTCGAACCCGGGCCTCCCGCACAATCGACACTTTATCACAAGCAGTGCGAGCAGGTGCGCACCACACACCACGTCCGAGGCACTCCTGAACCATGGTTCCAGAATATGAAGGTAAGTGTCTGGGCGTGATTCAGACGAAGATGATTCGTGCGATGCTCACGAGAGCCTCCGAGTCCCGAGAGTGATTTTTTGGCCGAGGGATAGAAAATACTCGTGTGTAAATGCTCATTGTTGAAGATGCCACTCGTTCACGGCTGCCAAAAAATAACTGGTCGCTCGGCCATTCGAACGCCGGGAGTCGAACCCGGGCCTCCCGCATCATACTCAATTCAGAATGGCAACCGCGAAGTGAGAGCGGGGGTGCGCCGTGCACCACGTCCGAGGTAATCCTCAACCTTGGCGGGAGCCTACGCAGGTGAGTCAGACTCGGATGCTGCCGAGGAATGCTCACGAAAGAGTACACAGCAGTGCCGAGTTCCGAGAGTGTTTTTCAGTGGGCAGGGAAAAAAAATTCGTGTAAACGCTCATTGCTGAATACGCAGCGTGTTACGGCTAAAAAGGAAAACTTCACGTAGTGGGTGGCATTCGGACGCCGGGAGCCGAACCCGGGCTTCCCACATTTATTGAACACGAATATTAAAACACCAAGAACAGCGAGGGTGCGCTGTGCACCACGTCCGAGTTATTGTATAGCTGGATGCCTTGATACACGAGCAATATTCAGAGCCCACAGATGAAAGAAAGAATGCAAGAATTGCTCCGCCGACAGTCAAGTACTTGATGGTAAGCGCCGAGGGTCCTGTTGACGAGGGGTTCCGGCGTCGAACTCCGGAAAAAATCAGGGAGAGACAAAAGCTGCGCCAGGCTTGAGCTCGAGGACGTGAAGGTTTGGACAAAGGTTTGTTTGATCCCATCACGGTGTTAGTTGCGACTGTTTACCTGCAGCTTCCCGAGCGTCCTTACCACCGACGTCATGTCTCGCACTACTCCACTGTCTATATGGGAAGATATAATTGAAGGGGGTGCAACTAAAGAACAGACTGAATATATTGCAGAGACAGCTCGGTATAAATACAAGTCTCTTATCTATGAGTCAGACTAGCAATGATACCAAGGCTGTGTGAAACACAATAAAGCATATGGTGAAAAAGATGGTAGTCGGGCAAAAAGCAGGCTAAACCTAAAGTGAACATAGCAACGGTGAAAAGACAATAAAAGAAGTAAAATTGTGGAGCAGTCCATGTGCATTCCACATGCATTCCGCATGGTCAACAGACCACGGGTTGTATTTCCAACACTCCCCCTCAAACCGTGGATAATCCAAGAGCACGAGCGAAATGTTTAGCTTTAGCACTCGGGAGGGCTTTGGTGAGGGTGTCGGCGGTCATTTCATCCGTAGCACAATAAATGAGCTTGATAGCACCGGCCTCCATGATATAGCGAATATAGTGGTATCGCAAATCAATATGCTTCGTGCGGGTGTGGTAATGGCCATCCTGTGCAAGTGCAATTGCAGATTTGCTGTCGCTGAACAGTGTGGTGGGCGAGGACAAAGGGCGGAATATTTCCCCAATGAGTTTGCGCATCCACATAGCTTCTTTAGCGGCATGGGTAGCGGCGACATATTCTGCCTCGGTGGTTGAGAGCGTAACAAGTTCCTGCTTCTTCGAAGACCAAGAAACGGCTCCTCCATCAACCATGAATACATACCCAGTAATGGCCCTTCGATGATCTTGCGAGGCGCCATCGGCATCAACGTAGCCAAGTAAACCACGCTTGTCTCCCCCATAAACCAACACCAAGTTCTTCGTTCCGTTAAGATACTTGTAGATGTGTTTTACGGCTTCCCAATGAGACCAGCCGGGGTTATCGTTGAACTGGGAGACAGTTGAAACTGCGAACGCAATGTCGGGCCGAGTACCCATTGCGGCATACATAAGGGATCCAACAGCTTCGCGGTAGGGAACATTCTTCATTCTCGCAATATCCATTATGCTCGTTGGCGATTGGGATTTGCTGAGAGGAAGGTTCGGGTCAAGAGGCATCGCACTAGGCTTCAAATCATTGAAGTTGAACCGTGTGATAATTGCCTCGATATAGGCATGCTGCGACAATGTGATTGTGCGCTCTGCATAGTCCCGGGTAATCTTGATTCCAAGTAGCCAATTAATTGGACCAAGATCTGTGAGCTTGTACTTCGCATTCATTTCGACCTTGAATTTCTGGATCTGCATGAGGGAGCTTCCCAAAATCATGCAGTCGTCGACATGAATTGCAAGTATGAGCAGGTGGTTTTCTTCCTCTTTGAAGAATATACCGTGATCCGATTCGGATCGCTTGAAGTGAAGATCGGCTAGAGCTTCACAAAGGAAGTCATACCAATTCTTCGCACCTTGCCGAAGACCGTAGATTGATTTGTGGAGTTTCAACACAAAATATTTCTGGTCCTTTGTGGCATAACCAGGCGGTTGTTCGAGATAAATGGACTCGTCCTCTGCTAGGACTCCATTCAAAAATGCACTGTCAAAATCCACCGTGTGGATGGCCAGTTGTTGCGTGCTGCAATAGCTAAGAGCAGCCGAAAGGACGACAACTTTGCAACGGGTGCATAAGTCTCGTAAAAATCAACACCATAAATCTGGGTGAAGCCTTTCGCAACCAATCGAGCCTTATACTTCTCGATTTCACCGGCGGCATTTTTCTTGATGCGTAGAACCCATTTTGAGCCAACAACGTTAGCCCAGATGGGCGCTCGTGAGAGACCATGTGCCGGTCCGTTCCAACGCGGCAAGTTCTGCTTTGATTGCCTCTTCCCATTTAGGCCAATCAGGTCTCTTTCTCGCTTCCTCGAACGTCGGCTCGAGTCCTTCAGCACCAGCAGTAGCAGCGGCCATGGCAAAGTCTTCCACAGCTACCATCTCCCAATCATCTGAAACTGCTGCATCTTCCTGTACTTCTTGGATGCCAGTTGGGATTGTGGGGTCTGCTCTGCGGTTGCTAGTGACTCCATCGCCCTCGCGCAGGCGTCTCACGTATGCAGACTCTTTCCTGACGCGTTTGGGTCGACCTTCTGGTTCTTCAGGCTCTAGATTCTCGAAGTTCTCTCCAAGAAAATCGTTCTGTGGCTGGTTTTGAACATTGTTCTGTGGCTGGTCCTCTACATCGGGAATTTCCTCGACTGTAGCTCTTGGGACTGGTGCTCTTGCAGCTGGTGGCACTTGAAGAGGCACTGGAGGGTGCACATTTTGCACGGGTGGTCGCTCGACATGTTCCCACTCCCCCTCGAGCGGCAATTTCCCAACGATGACAGTGTCTTCTTCAAAGTTGAAGCTAACACTTCGTTCAACTCCCACTGTGCGACGATTGGGCCAATAAATTCGGTGAGCTGCACTCTCCTCATCTATTCCCACCCAATAACCAATTCTCCCTCGCATATCGAGCTTGGAGTCATTATCGTCGTGCACACGGACTTTGCAACCCCAAGGGTGCAAATCCGCCAGAACAGGTTCTCTCCGAAGACAAGTTCATATGGAGTTGTATCGCCAATTGCGCGGGTCCAGGTACGATTTTTCAAGTACACTGCATGCATCAGAGCTTCGCCCCATAGAAATTTCGGAAGGCCGCTATCATGAAGCATAGCGCGAACCTTATTCAAGAGGGTACGATTGAGCCGTTCAGATACACCATTGTATTCTGGAGTGTCATGGACTGTGAGGCGTCGATTGTTCCTTGGATTGCGAGGTGAGCATCGAATTTGTTGCTCCTATATTCTCCTCCGCGATCTGAACGTAGGCACTTGATTTTGACATTCTTTTGCGTCTTCCACCAAGCTTCTTCTGCCAAATAATGTTCAAAGACCTCGTCTTTATGAACCATTAAATAGGCGCGTGTGTACCGGCTTTTGTCGTCTGTGAAACTGACATAGTACTCCTTGTGGTGGATGGTTCGAACAGGCGCAGGTCCCCAGAGGTCTGAATGGATCTCATCTCCGAGATTTTCAGCACGTCTGGCCTCTCGGAATTTTTGAATAGGCTTCCGAGTCATCTTGGCAAATTCGCAAGATTCGCATACTGTAGGTTCACTGGATTCATCCAGTTCAATGCCATGAACAAGTCCTTTCTTGACTAGTTTCCTGGCGGCCTCGTGCGCTATATGTCCCATCATGCGATGCAATTCGTCGATGGTGACCTTCTCTTTTGCAGCTCCTGCAAATTCGGTTGCGGGTTTTGGGTGCGGGGTGAAAACACGGTAAAGTCCGCTTTTCTCGTTGATCTTGCCAATTGGTTTACGATCCTTGTCGAAGATACGACATGCACCATCCCCAAACCATACATGCGAGCCAGCGGCATCGATGCGACTGATGGAGACCAATGTGACTCCCATCGTAGGTGCGTACAGCACATCTTTCAACAGAATTCTTGATGCTGGTCTGTTGCCGTTT